AAAACGTTTTAGGTTTACTCAATAGCAAAACAATGAGATAAATATGTATGTAGGTTAGTACGTATGCGAAGATACTTTGTAGACTAACATTGTAAGTTAGTTCAATCTGCCAAAATCTCCCTTTGGGATGTTCTCAATGTCAAAATAATTAATAAAAAGCGTTACTTTTTTAAGTTTTGAAGAAGCATGAATCCATAGCAAGAACAGTCTGTAGTAATTATGAGGAGCTTTATATAGAAACAAAGAAGTCTGTGGTTTGTGCTTGCACACAAACAACTTCAAACGCACATTCATCACCAATTGGTTGACTTCAGAACAGCATTTCCAGCACTAAAAGCAGAATGAACAACTGTCTTACAATTCTAGATGATTCCTAATATATCCACATCACATGCATCTTGAAGCTCATGTGTCTGCTCAAAGCACTTCACCTTCTGAGCTTCAGTAGCTACAGACCGTGCATGTACAAATAATAAGACAGACAGCAAAGCCTTCAAAGAGACGTGAAGGCTCAAAAAAGCAGCCTTCCAAAATGCATTTCAGTCCAAAGATCACCATTCCATCCTTTCCTGTACAAATGCATGTCATTGATGGAGAGGGCCTGGTGGACTGCAGATGAGAGAGTTCTGATTCAACAAAACACATCTGAACAAACAATCTCCTTCATTAAACGAGGACTAGACCTCATCACCTCATCTAGCTGGACATGACAATGCCTCTTCTGCAAAACGCAGTTCAAGTTGTAGGGTCACAACTTTATGTTTATTTATAAATTTGCACCTCCAAATGGTCAATAACAGGCATTCTGTCTGGTGCGAGATCAGTGCACATGATGTGGAAAAAGTTGCATGTGTCACGTTGTATTCTGGGCATGTGCGCTGTGATGGTTCATCCATTCATTATCAATGCATCTGCACTCCTGAGCTGGTTATGTGATGCATGCGCTGGCTACTTCAACGTACACCGTTATCTAATCCATTATGAGACCTGCCATCTACCTTTTTTCTTACTGGTGACATAGAGAAAGAAACTCCGATTTAACGCAGTTTGGGTGTCAAAGGATGCTCCGTATTGATATGATGTCTACATGCACGGCAACAGATGCAGAATTCAAAGTGGGTGTTGTATGATGATACACATGCCAAATGCACTCACCATCTATGTCCCTTGCTGGAAGAAGCACCTCAAAACTGTGCACAAAACCCAAAAAGAACAATCCGACAAGCAGCCTGCCAGCTGTGAAGCGCAACATTATATTTCAACAGAGGGGAGAAAAAAAGGCCAGGAACAAAAGAGCTAAATAAAATGCAAACGCAAGGTCCGATGATCCAGTAAAGCTGCAGTCTGATCACGGCTGATGCGCCTCTCCAAATGCGCACACTGGCGCAAAAGGCTTCTTCTTGGCACGCGCGATTCACCTATTCCTCGAATGCATGGCACAGCCTATGGATGATATATGTCTGATACAGGGCATCACCGTGGAGACAGTGCGCTCAGACCATTCCTTTGTTGAGGATGACAGCCAGCGCTCCGCTCTGTGCCAGTGACACCTATGAATGTGCGCCGATTCTCTCTGTTGCTGCTGGTAACACAGATCGGGCGAAATGTGTGGTCCAATCCTGAACTAGCGATGCTCGGACTCGTGAACCGGTTCACTTTTGCATCAACCGGTTCGCGAGTCAGACAATCCAACTGCCCAGCCGTTTCTCAAGAGATTTGACACTGCGTGGACATATCAGATCATTCGATGTCATGTTATATACACATTTTATTCAAAAATAAAAAAAGACATTAAATTAAAAATAGCATCTCCCCGTTTTAATAGGAATGATTGTTGCTATTATAATAAAATAATAGTAAGACAAATTTACCGCACCACTAATTTAGTCCGGTCTGCCACAAAATGAGTGCCAAGCTCGAATTTAACAAACAGATATATTTATCATTATGTTTGAAGCATGAAAATATCACGCGTGGACGTAAAAGAACCGATGAACAAACTGTTCGAAAGAACCGATTCGCGAGAATGAATCAGGACTCCCCAGCATGAGCCCGACTGGCTGCTCTGTGACGTCAGGAGAAGCGCTCGGTCCTCTTGATAAGCGATGGACACGCGCGGAGCTTCGCCATTGGCTCGTGTGCTGGCGACTAAGGGTCTCATCCAATCAGCGCCGCCCGCGTTGAGTCGCCGCCGAGAAATACAACACCTGTTATGCATCAGAAAGATTAGAGACTTATTATTGCGACACTGAGTACTTTGAGAGTTTTACGTCTAATTTACAAACATAAACACCAAAAGAGGTTATACTGAAATGACTTGTTTTGAGTAAAGGATCAATATTTGTGGTAGCCTACTTGAACTTGTATGGAATTTGACATTTAATGATGCTACACTTTAACAATGGATCTTCTGGTTATTTATTGTTAATGATGATGATGATAATGATATTAAGGACAAATTACAACTGCATTCCTGTATGTCAGGGGAAACATGTTTTCACAGCTGTAGCAACAATCTTATTCTAAACGTAACCCTAACCACAACA